CCCCAAAACCCCAAAACCCCAAAACCCCAAATGATACCATAGTGACATTAATTCTGGTTGCCAATATTAATTATTATATTCTATTATGAAGTCTGATTAGATAAAGTAAGCAGAAGAGTTCGAAATTGAGGAGTCCTCATTTGAATCTTTTAGCAATGTAAACCTAGCCTAAAGCCAAGATTTTTTCAATAAAAACACTGGCATAGATGAGTTTAAATAGAATAATGAAGATAAAAATAGAAGAGCAAAAGCAATTAACAAAGAGAAAGATATGGCTAAGGATTCTAAGAGGAATCAAGTGAATACTGCAGAATATAGAAGAATGAAGGAGTCTTATAGTAGAATATTCGTTTGGAGCCGAATACTACTGACTTTGAGTTTGTGTGGACTAGTTTACTCTGGCTTCTTTTCTATCCTGTTGGTGTACATGTGGATTAATATAAAAAGCTTTGTGGTATTTAATACATCTTCAACTACATCAAAAGCGATGATTAGGAACCATTTATAGTGTCATTTAATGAAGCTAAATTCTCCAATGTATTATTCTTTGGCTTGATATTCTGCTTCATAATTCTAATTCAGTCATTAATAGGCATGTACTTTGTGAAACCCTTGTTTGCTTTGGCTAATAAACAGCAAACTCATGAAATCTTAAGTGTTACAGATACAGATATCTCCAATGAATCTGATTTGGAACAAAGTAGTGGTGCAGATACTTAAGGTCACACTCATGATAAAAAAAGCGCTAGCCTCACATCCGATGAGAACTACTATTCGCATATGCACACTGCCTTCTTACAAAGGATACTTCTAGTGATATCAGTGATCAGCTTTTTCTTTTTAGCAAATATGCTCTATAATTTATCATGCGAGATTGACTAAGCTGGGTAAAAATTCATTGAAGATAACATCATTCGCTAAAACTTTACTTAATTCATACAAAGAGGTGAGAAGGCATAGAGAGCTGTCTAAGAAATTGTAAGATGGTAGAGATAAATGGGATCAAGAGTGGTCTTTGCAGCAATATTTTTCTTTGATGCATTTGCTCTGGGGGCATTTATAACTCTTACTTCAATATGTTTGTATAGTACGCATCAACTCTCAAGAAGCTAAAAGAGAACTGAGGAAGATTGAATATTAAAGAGACTAATAAATGCTAATAAACTTTCGGAATTATATTTATTGTCCATAAATAAAATGTTTACTTCAATTGCTCGTACATATAATTTCACGGGGTTTTGGGGTTTTGGGGTTTTGGGG